AGAGTGCTCCTTGGAGGCCAGGATGACCAAACTTCATCTTTCATACTTCGGACATATTGTCAGGAGGGACAAGTTGCTGGAGAAGGATATCATGTTTGATAGGATGGATGGTCAGAGAAAACGAGGAAGAGCCCCAGCGAGATGGATTGGCAAAGTGGAAGCATCGCTGGACTCAAGCATGGCAACAATAGTGAGGATGACCCAGGATAGTGCAGTGTTTCTTTCTGCTGTACATAAGGTCACTATGAGTTGGTGCCAACTCGATGGCACCTAACAACAACAACAACAACAAAGTGGAGGATTGGAGAAATAGAGGAAGTCCCCCAATGAGATGGATTGGCACAGTGACAACAGCAATGGGCTCAAGCAAAGTAATGATTGTGAGGTTGACACAGAACCAAACATTGTTTTGTGTTGTTGTGCATTGTGTCTCTATGGGTCGGTACTGACTCAATGGCACCTAACAACAACAACAACAACAACAACATCAGAGATATAATGTGATCTCAAATCACGAAAAATATCTTTGCCTTTTACATAAAATCCTAAATGTGTGTCCTGCAATGAGTTGAGTATTAATTGTAATATATTTTTTTTATATGATGAATGTTTCTTGCAGATATAGAACTGGCCAACAAATTGAAGGAATTTAACCAGGTAAGTCTGTGAAATACTTAAATGCTCGTATTTAATAATGATCAAAAGAAAATTTCTTCTGACAGAATGTAAATTGTTAATACTAAAATGTAAAACCTTTATACCTGTGAGAAAAAGGATGAAGCAATTCACTAAGAAAAAATAATCAAATTATACTACAAAAACAAACTATAATATAATCTAGGTTGTAGTCCCAACTCTCCAACTACCTAACTATGAAAGTTTTGGCAAATCTTTAAAAATTCTTTAAGCTTAGTCTCCTCACCTGTGAAATTAAATAATTTAACAGGTTTTTAGGTTTTCAAAACTAATATTATTTTAAAACAGTAGAAGTATTTTTTTCCAACACAAAACTTTTATTCTAGGGAAAAAACCCATCAAAGCAGAGTCTTTCTCCTTGAAGTAGGTGGTTTGGATGGCATGAAGAGATGCCCTCTTGACCTCATTCCATTTTTCTACAAACTTCTTAGTGTTTTGGAGAGTGCTATGCTCCACCATTCCTTTCTGAGGAACTAGGCCATGGTGACAAGTAGTTGCCCAGGCAGAACCTTGGTTTGGTAAACTCTTAGGCCTTTGGATTTTGGCAGTTGGAGAACTTGTTAAAAATTAACATGGGCTGGTTTCTGAGTGAAAACTCTTAGACTTCCAAATACTTCTCCTTTCCTGCTATATTGGAAAAATAATTCAGAAAATTCAAGCATTCACAGAGCTCTTTCGAGCACCTTGAAAATGATTGTTCATTACAGGTGACAAAATCATATCCAGCTAAGTTGGCTATGTTTACAGATACTTTGTTAATTAATACCTAGAGTGCCTGCACTACAAACCTGTTTGTTCCTGATTTTCTTTTGAGTCCTCAACTTTTCCCAACCAATCTCTAAATGCAACCTTCCTTTTTTGTTTGTTTGTTTGTTTGTTTTGTTTTCTGTCCTTTTCCTTTTTGCTTCTTTCTTCCTTCTTTGTGTCTTAGAATCACTCTTTCTTTTACATGAATAATTTCTCTTCCTCAACAGAGAATGGCATGTTTATTATTAAAAACGAATTAATTCTTATATTTATTTTCAATAGCTAGAAAAGATAAAAGAACAACTCACGGGGGCAAAGGCTGCTGAAGTGTCTTATGCTATAGATGGTCTATCCTCTTCCCACCCTAACAAACGAGGTAAGTGTTCCTTTCTAAGTTTCAAATAAATTTCTAAAATATTACTTTTATAATAATTTTCAAGAGGAGAGAGAATAAATTGATATTTCTTAGTTGTGTGAGGCTGATAAAGATCAAGGTGCATATTTAAAAAAAAAAATTCCAAAGAAAGTCTTCTCATATGAATTTATTTCAGCTTTGCAATGTTTACAAGGTTACAATTTTTTGTGCAAGGTCACATTTTTTTGCTTAACAGAAATAGATGCTTGTAGTTTAAAACTCAGAGTCCTGGTGTGGCACTGCAGGATAAGCGCTAGATTGCTAACTGAAAGGTTGATGATTCAAACCTACCAGCTTCTTCTTGAAAATCCTATACAGGGGCTCTATGAGTATGACAACATTTAATAACAACATTTAATAACAACAAAATAACAACAATGATTCTTGTTATTTTGCATTAGACAATAGAATTGGCAGTATCACACATACAAATCAGTTTTTAAGTAAATTCTGAATTTTATAGAATCACCCTTGAAATAAGAAGAAACTTTCAATACTGTTACACTTATTCTAAAGTTTTATTTATAAAATTTAATTTTAGAAAAGTATGTCTTTTAGGATGTATTTGGGGCAAAAAATCATCAAAATTTGATATAAGATTTAATGTGTGATGTGAAAGAAAGATACCAAAGACAGTTCCAGTGTTTCCCATCTGAGCAACTGGAAAATAATGGCAACTTCTATTTATTGAGCTGAGAATAACTGCAGGAGGACAAAGTGTAGTAGTAGAAAAGAGCTGGAATGAAGGCTTGTTGAACCTTTCCTTAGTCAATGTAAACTAGACTAGGATGTATTGGACTTGTGGTGTGGCGCTATGGGTTAATGCACTGGACTGCAAGGTTGGGTTGAACTTCAAGGTTGGAGGTTCAAGCCTCATCATCTACTCCTCAGAAACTCTATCCAGGGTTGCCGCTAGTCGGAATTGACTTGATAGCTCTTATCTTAACAGTGATGCATTGGACTCCTGGTATGGCACTGTTGGATCAGCACTGTACTTTGAACCACAAGGTCGGTAGTTCAAACCCAACAGCTGCTCCTCAGAAACTCTATGCAGGATTGCTATGCGTTGGAACTAACTTGGTGCTACTTAACAGCAACACCAATGATGTATTAGCAGTTTTAATGCATATCTCAGAAGCTATGTATAATAAAGTCCAAACACAATGTTCTATGTGTTTTACTCAAACTTCCTCTATATTGTAGCTATCTCATCTGTTGTTGTTGTTAAGTATTATCCAATCACAGTGACTCTGTGGAGGGTTTCTGAGGAGCAGCTGATGGGTTTGAACTGCTAACCTTGTTCTTAGCATTACAGTGCTTATTCTATAGTCTCACACCAGGACTCATTGTTTGGCTTGACTGCTTCCAAGTTTGCCAAAGTGAAATGAGAATCAGGTGAAGCATCCCAGGTCTTACAGACCTCAGTCCAGGAGTCCACAGATCACTTATACTCAAGTCCATTGGCAAGAACTATTCATTAGAACTGACATTAAAATATCAGCAAGGCAGGATGGTAAATGCAAGGAAGTACATAAAACACATAGGGAGCAATGTCTCCAACACAACTGATCCTTTGATGTCTTTTTAAATACACAGATTGTACTTAACTCGTTCACATTAGGGAGAACCAGGGACTATAATTAACACAAAGACCAAGCTTTCTAGGAGTATGCTCACTAGTCTTCGTGAGGTGCAATATGGCCCCTCTTCTTTCACATGCCTATTAATTAAATGGGCAAGTTATTGAATCCATATAAATCCAGTGGTGTCAGTGGATTAGTGATAGAATTACCACAATAAATAATCTCTTATAGAGGAGAAGAACATAAATGATCTCAATTGCTTGCCCCCAGCATCACTTAAATCATGTTGGGCAAATATTGTGAGGGTTTACAACCCTGAGTTTGGGAGAAGATTCTGATTAGGGGTTCATTCTGCCTCCAAGGAGAATTTCTCCATTTTTTTTTTATTGCTTCTCCTGACTCCAGCCTTTGTGAATTTCCTGTTTTTCAATTATCTCTGGATACATTTTATGTGCTTATTGAGAAATATTCCCTTCTTGTGAAAGGCAAAATTTTGCAGGTCTCTTCTTCCTTTTGCAAGATTTGAGGCATAAGTTTATTTTGTCTTGACGTGTCAAAGACTTTTTTATTGTATGGTTCCTAATCTCCTTGGTAATGTCATTCCTTCAGAAAGTTAGAAGTATTCTCAACTGTTACATGGAAATTTTTTCTTAAAGCTTTTTAATGCTTTTCTCCAATTTAATGGCAGCTTCCCTGCAGGTACTGTAACATATCTTAAAGACTGAATCTTATTTTTCTTAAGAGTTTTTTAATTTGAGCTGATGTTTATTGAGCCTCTGTTATTTAAGGCCATTTTAAATAAAATTTTATACATGTGGGGACTTGAAGCAGCTCTTTTATATTTCAGAACTTTATTTTCAGCTCTTTGCAAAGACATTGGACCCTTCCTGAGCTCCTGAATTTCTTGTAAAACCTTGCCAAAAATAATAAAAACTAGAACCTAAAATCCCAATATACTATGCTCCAAACTTTTCTTGAATTTAAGAAATTCATGATCCGAATCCCAAACTGTTGCAAATGCCTGTATTGCTGCTTCATTACATGGCTCTTAATTTTTCCAATTTATGATATCAAGTTTTTTTGTCTGCCATTAACCTGTTGCTGAGACTACTACTCATTTTAGGCCCTCCATAAAGTAGTGCTCTACTTCACATTACCAAATTGCATTTTTGGAAACTAGGCAAACAATTGTGAGGATGTTTCAGGACTGGACTATGATTCATTCTGTTGTGCATAGGGTCTATATGAGTTGGAACTGATTTAAAGGCACCCAACAGCAACAAGATATACAAACTACATGAACTAAATTATCTCAAAATCTCAGTGGCATAATTTGTTACATGATTTATGATACGTTTGTTTCATGAAGTATGATACGTGTTGACCAGTCCTCTACTTCGTGCATACACCACTTGGAATACAAGACCTCTGTGGCGCTGTGCATAATGTGTCAGACTGCAAAGTCATTTGAAATGCAAGATCGGTGGTTCAAGCTCACCAGCTGTTCCTTGGAAGCTCTATAAAGGTCACGATGGGTTGGAATCAACCCAATGACACTTAACAGCAACAACACTATTACCATCATGGAGTCCTGGTGTGGTGCTGTAGGATAAAGCACTGGACCCCAAGGTTGGTTTGAAACACAAAGACAGTGGTTCAAACCCACCAGACACTACTCAGAAACTCTATACAGGGTTGTTATGAGTCAGAACCTACTTGACTGGACTTAACAACAATTGCCATCATGGAGTACTAGTGTAGCACTTTAGAAATAAACACTGGACTGCTAATCAAAAGACTGATGAATCAAACCCACCAGGCTCTCCTGGGAAACCCTGTACAGCAGGGATGGGGAAACTTTTTTCTGCCATTTTGGATATTTATACCATCATTCCCAGGCCACACAAAATTATCAACTTAAAAAGTAGCCTGCTTAAAAAAAAAAAAACACACCAGAAAAACACACAGAGGGAATGGAAGCAAATACTGTTGAATGATGATGCATGGAGGAGATTGTAATCATTGCAATGAAATGATAAGTGTAAAACCGGTGTTCTCCAATATAAATGATCACTAAATTCACAATAAAAGCTTGTATATGTATAATTAGCCTGATAGATTTGGATGGCTGGAGCTGTGGTTGCTTTGTCAGGTCCAAATCAAATGATTTCGTGGGCTTTATATGGCCCGTGGGTCAGATGTTCCCCACCCTGCTGTACAGGATCCCTATGTGTTGGAACCAACTCGATGGCACTTGACAGCAACAACAACAATTGTCATCATGGACCCTGATGTAGCCCTGTAGGATAAGCATTGAACTCATAACTGCAAAGTTGGTAGTTCAAACTAACTTCTTTTGGACCTCTGTGATTCAGAATTGACTCAATGGCACACAACAACAACAATGTTTTCTTAACAAGGTCAGAGACGTAGGATAAACTAAACATATTCTTAACTTCTAGGACTAGTCACATGGCTCAATCTAAATTGGGGAGGTTAGGAAACAAAGAGAAGCCAAGAAATAACTCGAGACACTTATCACTACCATAGACATCTTAAGATTGTTTTATTGTGTATGACAAAAAATTTGCAGTAGAGATTTGAGTAGACCATTGGATATATTAATTTAATTTGGAGTTTAAGAAAGCAGGCCAAATTTGAGATGTAATTTTGACAGTTATCAGTGTATCAATAGTGTTTGATATTGTGATTAGTCCATGTAGGGAGTGATTAAATATAAAAGTTAAGAAATCTAAAGTAGGAGGCCCAGGACACTCCACACATAGCTTAGAGATTGAGCAGATGAGGGAGAACTGGACCAGCAGAGTATGAATGTCCATCAATGTAGGAAAAGACAAAGACAGGGATGCACCATAAACCAGATGAAGATACTTATTCTATTAAGACATAATAGAATACCAAGAGGATGGGATTCTATCTTTAAAAAAATGTTAAGAGCCTTCAAGTAAAGACTCATAGTGATTCCATGTGACAGAGCAGAACTGCTCCATAGAGTTTTCTAGGTTGCAGTCTTTACCGAGGAGTCCTGGTGTTGCACTGTGGGCTAATGTGTTGGACTGCAAAGTCATTTGAACTGCAAGGTTCGCAGTTCATGCTCACCAGCCATGACTCAGAAACTCTATACAGGACCAATATGGGTCAGAACTGACTCCAAGGCACTTAAAAACAACAACAATCTTTACTTAGGAGTCCTAGTGTGGCACTGTAGGATATATGCTGAACTGCTAACTGTAGGGTCAGTGGTTCAAAGCCACTAGTCACTGCTTGGAAGCCCTATACAAGGTCGCTGTGAGTCAGAACTGACTTGATGAGACTTAATGATAACAACAATCTTTACTTGAGGTACCCTGGTTGCAGAGTGGTTATACCTTGGACTGCTAAACAGCAATTTGGACCTACTAGCCACTAGACAGCACTTAACAACAACAACAACAAGTCACTCAGTGGAAGAAAGATGAAGCTGCCTGATCCCATAAAGATTTACAGCCTCAGAAGCCTCAGGGAGTAGTTCTACTCTAACCTGTAGGGTCACTATGAGTCGTACTTGACTTGATGACAGTGGATTTGGTTTTCGTTTTGGTCTTTACTGAAGCATATCACCATATATGCAATGGGTGGGTTCAAGCCATCAGTTTTTGGATTCACAGCTAAGTGCTTACCTGCTGCAAAAGCAGATCTCCTCAGTCCCATCAAACAGGTCCAAAGAGTTCTCCAAATTCTCTCTATTGCATACTGGATACTTATGAATTGGTTAGTATGATGAAAAAGGACCCCATATAGTGTAGTGTGTTATGTGTTGGACTGTTAACCCCAAACTCAGTATTTTGAATCCATTAGCTGCTCTGTGGGAGAAAGATGAGGCTTTCTGCTCCTGCATAGATGTACAGCCTAAGAAACACTATACAGCGTCACTATGAGTTGGAACCAAACTGATGGTGTATAGCAAGCAGTAACAGCAGTATGATGAAGACGCTGATTTTTTCATTTAAATTAATTTTGAATGATTTACATTAAAACTTCACATGTCATGGTTAGGATTACCATATTAAGTAATCATTTTACAAAACTCTGTTATACTCATACTTACATAGGTAATTTTATTCAAATGTACCATTTCATTAAATATCCTTCTAATAAATAATTTGTTTTGCTTTCTTCTTTAGCCTGCTTTTGGAAATACTGTGTCTAAACCTTTTTTGCTGGATTAAAAAAAAGAAGAATACTAAAAATATATATATGTATATATATCTATTGCATGCAGAAATTGTGCATTTACTGAACATATTGTTTTTATTTCCTTGCTAACTTGTTATTGAGTTATAATGAGCTTATACTTTACATCACAAATGACAAAATAGTTACACTTTTCAATGGTAAGGAGCTATTAAAATGGTCTGTGTATACTAAGTTGAGAGCATTTTCTCTGTTGTATACTCTCCATAAATTTATGGTCTATATTTTTTGCTCTGAGATAATTATAATATTGATATCAATTAAATATTTTAAGAACCATATTTCAAAGTTAACCTAAATTATCTTATTTCCATTCATGTGGAAAACATGTCATTTTTGTTTCTTATTCTTTCTTGTGATTATTCTAGCCACTAATGATCACTGAGATCAACACTTACATTACTAGTAAGCATAAATATGTAATTTATGGAGCTCTTGGTAAAAAGAGTGTTGAATACATTACTAATAAACAGAAATATGTTATTTTTTGAATTTTCAGGAAAGGAGTGCTAGATTTTTCAAAGAGAAAAAAATATTTTTTGGTTTTGGAATTTTAATCTTTGTCTTTTCTATAACATCAGAAATGGATACCTTCAGCATGTAAGAGGTTTGACCCTATGTACTAAGAAACAAAAAGTGACACAAAAACTCATATGTTAAGTCACAACTCAAGCCTCAAAAAATTTAAAAACACTGAAATACTACAAAACATTTTTTCAGATCACAATGCTATAAAATTAGAAAACAACAATAGGATGATGAAGTAAAAATCACCCTACTTAAAAGCTATTTGGTAGTAAAAGAAACAAAAAATGAATTTAAAAAATTACCTGAATTGAGACAATTCCAAGACCATCAAGAAAGAAGAACATAAGTATAGCATGAGATTTCTATCTAGAAAAGCAGTGACAGAAAAGTTGGTGGCAGAGGCAGCAACATAGAAAGTTAGAATAGCTTTGGGCTTCTAGGCCCAAGAACCTAGTAAATTTCAGTGCCTCCTGGTAGGAGGCTGGCTTGTAGAATGTGCCATTTACTTATTTACAGTTGGTTAAAAGAGCATTGCAACACTTTCCTGAGCAGGGCAGAGGCCATGGTTCATATGGTTGAGAGGCTGAAGACAAGAGTGAGGTGGGCCTGCAGTATGGCAGAGAAGAGGCATTCCTGATTGGAAAACTGCTGCATCCTGAGTTGTTTCTGATGCTAAATTGTACCTTGTTCACTTCCCTAATAAACCCCATAATCACTCTGTGGCAAGATGGAAGAGTAAGCAGATGCATTGAATCAACCTTCTGCAACAAAGACGAGTGAAACAGATACAGACAGTGAACCCAGAAACATGATCCTCCAAGGATAGAACAAAGAGGAGAACTGAGTGCCAATTGGATGTGGAAACTGAACAGGAGCAGTGAGAGGGAAGAAAAATGGGTGGACTGGGCGCTGACTAGGAACAATGTGGCTATCTTGAGATGTTTTGAGAGGCTGTAGATATAGCTTCTGTGTGCACAGGACGAGGCTGGAAGTTGGTGGCAAAGGGGTGCAATTATCCCTTGTTCCCATGCACTCATGTAGATGGGGGCATGGCCAGTCCCTGCCCTCACCCACACCTTCCTGTGCAACCTAAGTTCTGCCTGAGGTAGAGCTCCTGGAATAATGCCCTTGTTTCTGGATGTTCATGAACCCACCCAGAACTATGCTACACACACAGTGACCAAAGAACTAACTGTGGTGCATTCACACTTCTGCTCTCTACCACATCCACCAGGGGACCGGTGGTGAGTGCCTGAGACTAAACTAATATAAAATCATCAACTAAATATAAATATAACACCAAAATATCTCGGAGAAAACAGACAAGTTCAGCTTAAAAAATGAAACAAGACAGAGTGCCTCAAACAAGTCACCAAAATGTAGAGTCAAAAGAGATAACACCAGAAATGATATTGGGGCTATCTAAAAAGGAATTTTAAAGAATGCTAATTAAACAACTTCAACAGATTGTGATAAAGATGAAGAAAACCACAGATTAAATCAAGGTAAATATAGACAAAATAATGGAAAAAGTCAGGAATCAAATTTACAAAATAATTTTTAAAAATGGAAATCTTACAAAAGCAACAATCAGAAAACCAGAAGAGTAACACTAAATCTTCAGAATTAGATAATACACTGAAAAGACAAAGAAATAGAATTGAATCAGTGGAAAGCTGAATTACTGAGCTTGAAGAAAATAATGTCAATATTCATTTGCTAGAGGAACAATCAGAAAAAAGAACAAAAATATCTGAAGAAAGCTGAAAAATTATGTGGGACACTATCAAAAGAAATAACTTAACTCGTGATAGGAATTCCAGAACAGAAAGAGACAAAGCAAAGCAAAACAAAACAAAACAACAAAAAATCCACAAAGAATATTGTCATTCTCCATGAGTTGTTGGAAGAAAACTTCTCTAACATTTGAAAGATGATATGATAGTCATTCGAGAAGTTTAACAAACTCCAAACAGGATAGCCTCTAAAGAAAAACACCAAGACAAATTTAAATCACAAATGAATTCTGCAAGCAGTTCATGAAAAACAAAAAGTTACCTATAAAGGAGAACTAATAAGACTAAGTTCTAATTTCTTAGCAGAAACTACACAGGCAAGAAGACAATGGAATGACATATATAAAACTCTGAAAGAAAAAAATTGACAACTAAGAATCATATATCCAACAAAACTGTCCATCAAAAATGATGGCAATTTAAAAGAATTTGTAAAAGTCAGACCAACCTTACAAAAATATTAAAAGTAATTCTTTGAACAGACAACCAACAGCATCAGACAATAGTGTGAGACTGATATACATAACAATATCACCTAGACTCAACCGAAATATTTTGTTGTTGTTCAGTGCAGTCAAGTCAGTACCAACTCAGAGTGATCCTGTATAGGATTTCTGAGGAATGGTTGGTGAGTTTGAACCTCTAATCTAGTGATTCAAACTGACCTTGCAACCCAGTGCTTATCCTACAGCACCACAAAAAATGACTCCAAAACCATATATAGAAGTATGCAGAGTAAACAGACCCATAAGGCTGAAAATAGAAAACAATGAGAAAGATGGCAGGCTAGGCAGAAAGGCTGAACAGGCTTTCTGCAGCAAGGATATGGAAAATCAGGCAAGACAAATACACAGGACAGTCCTGGAACTCTGAGCTCCAAAGGAAGGGATAGAAAAGTGGATTGAGTGTTTACTGATAGAGAGAATTGAATAGATGGTGCAAGACAGAAGGTGACTGACAAGCAGCAGTGTTAATGGGACCTGCTGCAGTCATCTTGAGAGTTTGTGTATGGCTTTAGAGATGAGAAAACATATTCTTAATGCAGAAACCTACCTGTGGCTCAGAGACAAAGGAGACAGCAACTGCGACCAGACAGCCAAGCCACAGGCATACTCTCTACAACTCCACAAGTTGGGCCAGCACCAACACTAGCTGCTATATACCAGAGCTCAAACTACAACCAACATTGGCTAAATTCATTCTGATTTGAACTGTACAAACAGTGAACAGAGAAGCTCATCTCCTGATCACAACTACCAGGAGGCAATTGGTGATTGCCTAAGGATACACCAATATACATCAATCAACGTAATATAAATACAACATTGCCTAGAAAGCAGCAGAACATTTCTGTTCACATATAGAAACAATATGTGGTGATGGTTGTGTGCCGTGGAGTCGATTCTACCTCACAGTGAACCTGTATAGGGTTTCAGAGGCTGTGAATCTTTACAGAAACACAAGACCTCATTTTTCTTTCATGGAGTGAATGGTAGTTTCAAACTGCTGACCTTGAGGTTAGCAGCCTAACTCATAACCACTATGCTACCACAGCTCCTTGTAGAAACAAGATAGAGTTGCTCAAACAAACTATCAAGAAGCAAAGCTAGAAAATGCTTTTTGAAGAAGAAGAGGCACTGGAAATACATGAAAAAAAGTTCAGGAGAATGATATTGAGGTACATCCAAACGTTTGACAGAAAAGTTGAGGAAAACAAGGAAGAATTCCAAAATGCACTACAGCAACAATCAAACAAAATGGATATAGCGCTGGTGATTATACAAAACCTGCAGCAGAAATCCAGAAGATCAATACTAAGATATCAGAAATGTACAATATAGTGCAAGGGCAAAGAAGTGGATTTGAATCAATGGAAGCCAGACTTAGTGAGCTTGAAGAAAAATCTCTCAATTCTAATAAGATAAAAGAACAAGATAAGAAATCAGAGATAAGATAGAAAAAAATCTACAGAAAGCTAAAGATTCATGTGGGACAACATGAAGAGGAATAACCTATAGGTGACTGGAATTCCAGAACAGGAAGAGACAAAGAAAACCACAAAAAAGATAGGGGAAGAGCTTTTGGACGAAAATTTCCCAAACATCATGAAAGATGAGATGATAAATATTCAAGGAATTGAACGAACCTCAAACAGGATAGACCCCGAAAGGAAATTACCAAGACATATCATGATTAAACTCTCCAAAATCAAAGACAAAGAAAGACTCCTGAGAGAAGTTGACGAAAAACAAAATGTTACCTATGAAGGAAAACCAATAAGATGAAGTTCTGACTTCTCAGCAGAAATAGTGCAGGTGAGAAGGCAATGGGGAGACATGTACAAAACTCTGAGAGAGAACAATTGCCAATCAAGAATCTTATACCCAGCAAAAATTTCCCTCAAATATGACAGCAAAATTAGAACATTTCTAGACATACAGAATGAAAGAAATTTGTAAGAACTAAGCCAACTTTACAAAAATTAGTCCGAACTGATTCAATGGCACTTACCAGTAACAGTATAGTATGTGAGAGCTAGCTAGATGAATCTACACACATTTCTTTATTTCACAATGTGGGGAAAATGGAGATTGTTCTATATAATATTAATTGTGTGACATGTACTAATAAA